CCTGGGACATTGGAGGACTAGAAACAAACTTGAGACAGAGGAGACAGAGTTGGAGAGAAAGTAATACAGAGAGGACAAAAGAGGATGTTTGTGGGCGGTTTGTACTGTATAAATTAAGTCCCACCGCCTACAATGATCTGTGACATTTCTTTGGACGATGAGTCAACCACCTCTACTACCTAAAAACTGTTGAAGACAAACACAAACTCCTCAGATTTCAAAGGCAAAAGTCATCTTGATGCAGACAAGATCCGTCTAAAAGAAAAAAAAAGAAAAGACTGTAAATAACATTTTTATACATTTTGTATCTTTTTCATTGGAGATGAAGAAGAAGTCTCTTGTGATGTTTTCTTTTTTTTTAAATGATTGTGTCCGTGTGAGGCTGTGAGTGAGGTTGATGCGAGTGCAGTCTTGTTCGTTGCTGAGGGAGAGAATTTCCCCTAGAAAGAAAAAACAACCCCCAAAATTTCTCCCTGAAAACAGTTTTCCTAAAAAAACTTTTCTTCATCAACTATGTGTATAGCGACAGGGGTCCGGCAATAGTATCTGATGAGATTATTGAAACTACGACATGTGGCTGAAGGGAAAATATCAAAGTAGCGAGAAGTGATTGTAAATAGAAGAAGGGATTATTATAGAGAAGAGATTTGATGGAACAAGATGATTGTGCAGAGAAAGATGGCCAACGTTAAGCTAAAACACCACATGAGGGTTCAGAGTTCAACAATTAAAGCTTAGTCACCAGTGTCCAAGTATCAGCTCTTTCAGGAGATTGTGCTGTTTTGTGATCCACTGTATATGAATGTGACCTTGTCATCTGTCTGTGTATTTCTGTGCCTGGTGCTGTCTGACCCAGACCATATCAGTCGATTGATATTACAAGACCATATCTTTAGTGTTCTGGAGACCTGGTGGGTGAGGGTAGATGTCTGTCTGCCTCTCTCTGCAGGAGGCTGTATCATGTAACAACCATTTAAAGCCCCTCAAGGCATCTTGCACTTTGATGCACCACGACTCAACCTGCCTCAAGAGACGCCACGGGAGCAGCCGAATCTCTCCGGCAGCATCCAGAAGACTCATTATAAAAGCTTCTCATGCAGAAGTTCTGTTCAAATCCAAGCCAAAGGGACAACTGCTTCAGATTAGTACGATACATCAATGTTTACCGTGATGAAAATGACTTGTGCAGGGTGTGAACGCTGTAGATGTAATACACAGTTTTGTTTTAATTGTGATTTGTTTTCATATAATTGTGCCATGGAAACAAGTCTAAAGTGAAAACATGTTTTTAATATTGAGGCCATAGATCTACGCTACAACATAACAAAAATAACACTGTGGTTGGTATTTTATTTAGCTGCATACTGTATAAGCAAACTGGATTTTGATTTGGCACGTAGGAGGAGAGCGGATCAGTGGGTAGGTATTACGAGTCACGTCTTAGTGTGCTCAGATATTTGTTTGGAGACCTGAAAGCAGACCTGCAGTACATATCCAGAATGGTATCTACCTGAATATATTAACTCCTGTTTGTAGCACATTAATCCCATGCCAGATGCTTTTACTTGCTGGGCTGAACATAGTAGCTGGGAAATTACTAAAGAATACCCTTCATATATGAGGAATTTCACAGAAAATAGACACTGGCTCTAAATCTGTCAAGTCCTGACTTTGCTTATGAGCTGTCACTGATGAGGAAGTTCACACCAAAACACATGAATACAGATTTGTCCTCATCGCTGTGCAGAGATAAAGTCTCTTGAAAGATACAGCGTAGCTTCTGCAGCACCGTACCAGTTTGCTGAGGATGTCAGTTGTGTCAGCACTAAAAGCCTCTAAGTGGTTTTGAGATGCAGGTCTTTCCATCAGCTTCAGCTCGTTTCTCTCAGCTGTGTTCAGGCCTTAAGGTAACAAGACGCAGGCATTTGTAAGCAATGGAGACAAGCAGGCAGTCTCCACCAACCGTCAGGCGGATTAAGCGATTGTAGAAAATGGGGTTTCTGCTTGGCCAAAATGTGTCGTCTGCGTGTCCTCGAGCAGAGAGCTTCGTGACAGTCCAAAAATGTTAAATAACATTAGCACAGCAACACAGCAAGAGAGGAAGTGGATAAAAAAAAAAACAAGAATGCTAAAATAGAGCACAATGAGCATTAGAATAAATCATGAGTTACGAAAACAGACAAGGTTGAGAGAAGAACAAATTGGACGTTGCTCATCGCAGAGAGGAAGGAAAAACCCACGGAGAAACAGATGGAAATGTGGATAGTGGAAATAAACACATCTCACACACCTCACAAATGCAAATCTCCCTGCTCTGGCTGCTGCTCAGTCATTCCCATGTCTCTGGGACGTGACAAGGGAACCTATTTGTGACAGTAATATTGCCAAAAAAATGCTCCTGCAGGGAAACGCTGCCCACTCGTCTGTTAAAGCAAACACACATAAAAAAAATCTGACTTTGATTCCTTGTCACTCTTTTCATCCATTTTCTCTATTTATTATTATTTGTGTTCACAGATCTGTATGTTATCATCAACTGACAGTACCTTTAACTTGTACAGACATGAGATTTATTTTATTTATTGATAATTTATTGACATTGTATTGATTATTTATGTTTTTGTATGAGAGGTTGTTTTTGGTCCAAATGTTCCTTTTTTCCACATGTAGTGTTTCTTATGATCTGAGTCTGTCACTGCAACAATGTCACAGAAAGAGGAAAAGAAAAGAGGGGAGTGTGAAGATATCAATGTCTCTATTTACACCTAGGATTACAATGTAGTGAGAACGCTTTTCAGCAATTTAAAGACTTCATTGTCAAATTATGGAGGTAAAATCTTAGAAGATTTGACAAAACAAAGTTAAAAGTCAATCCTATATAGGTGCATCCACCCTCTCCAGACAGAATGTCAACATATCTGAACATATTCAAACTAAAAGTTGAATACTGGGTGTAAATAGTGCCGGCATGTCCCAAATCTAAGCTTTTTTTCCTCCCTGTTCACTGTTATAGATCCAAGGCTTCTCAAGCACAAAACCAGACCATTAACTGGTTTTGTATCTGCTTTTACACACAATTCTGCTGTCAGCAATGGCGAAATGACAGAAAACTCCAGCCTCAGGTTAATCTGGTTCAATGAAGCCACACAAGTGAGGGGAGACAAAAAGACTGGGCTGAGACTAAAACGTTGTGATGTGCTCAGAAAAAAAGAAAGAAATGGGAGGAAGTGACAGAAGGAAGCAAACAGAGTGAGATAGTCGAGTAGAGGAGGAGGAGGAGGAGGGATGGGAGATTGTGTTTGTTAGATTTGTGTGTTCATTAAGGGATGCCTTCTATCCCGCCGTCGGCAAGGGGATGGCGGCATGGAAACAGCTGTTCCCCTGTTACCGCGGAAACAAGAGAAATGTTGGACATTAAAAAATGACTTATTCCTACATGGCTGTGTTTATATTTATTCTGTGTGTGTCTGACAGAACAAGGTTTGCTGTTTCATATTCATGAATACAGACATTTTCAGGAAACCCAAGCAGAGGAAACATCCTGACAGAGACACGTTTTTCTGGAAGGTACTCTCTCTCTGACTTGTTTTGACTTTCAAAGTATTCTGTCACATCCAGAGACTTCAGAGATGTTTAGCTGCCACCTTGATTCTCAGCAAAAAAAAACAGTCAGCTCAAGACAGGAGCAGCCCGCTGAGACACAGTCATGAATAAACCTTATATTTGAAATCTGCAGGGGCTGAAACAAAAACTGATCAGTGTTGCTGTTTAATGTTTAATTGCATGTCTCAGTTGCAGGTCCATGAGACATGATGTGCACAGTTAGATGAGAAGATCTTGAATTTCTCCAGTGGTGGATCAATAAAGGAACATCTTATTTTAAGATCAATACCACGCCTCTGCTGTGAGTTTGGATATGGAACTAGGAGGTGCTTAGCTTATCTTAGTGTAACAGCTGAAAGCAGGTGTAACAGCTAGGCTGGCTCTGTCCAAAGTTCAGAAATATGCCTAACAGTAACAGTAACTAACAGTAACTAACTACACTAACATAGCAGCCAGATGGCACTGACACATTTACAGAAATTAACGTGTTGTTCTGAATATAGAAAAATAATTGAATTAACTCACCTTAAAACCACAAATTGTCGATTTTACATTTGTTTTTTTTAACAGATTTAACAAAAATTATATACGGTATTAATTAGCAAGTTCTAGGTTCTGGTGGATGTATGTTTGAGCTTTGGAGAGAATCAGACTATGTTTTTCCCCTCACTTTACACATGCTTCACACAAGAGAGCATTATCAACTTTCTCATGTAATTCTCAGCAAAAAAGTGAGGAAGCGTATTTCCTAAAATGTCAAACTATTCATTCAAAGAATACAACGTGTCTCAATAAGCTATGGTTTATTTAAAGGATAATAAGGAACATCATTCTTCCAAAACTTTCATTTGGTGTTTTGATGATGGTGGAGAGCACCTAATATTTTACTACAAAATCTCTGTATTAAACTGGGGTTCAATCTGCTGACTGTGAAGGCTGTGATTTGTATTATTCAGTAATTTCATGATGTCTGTTTAATTTACTATTTGACCAAGAGTATGGGGACACTGACTCATTATTTGTTTGTTTTTAGTTTGGGGCTGCTTTCATGTTTGAGCTAGGACCCTTAGCTCCATTATTGGAAAATGCTAATGCTATAACAAACAACGATATTTAAGACAACAGTGTGCTTCATATTTTGTGGCTAAAGTTTAGGGAAAACCTCTTCCTGTTTCCACATGAAGATTCAGGCCAGTGAAGGAATGGTTTTCCCAGTTTGGTGTGGAGAAACTTGCACAGAGCCCCGACCTCAACCCCATCCAACACCTTCGGACTTATCGCCCAACATAACCAGTGCTCAACCTCACTGAAGCTCCTGTGGCTGAGAGGGATCAAATCCCTGCAGCCTGTTTCCAAAATCTTGTGAAAAGTGTTCCTAGAAGAGCAGAGGCTCCAAGTTTGTAGCAAATGTACATTTATTTACAAAGCAAATGAAAAGTGTTTAAGCATACATACTCGTGTTAACATGCAGCACAAAAGAAGCTTTGCACGTACAATCATGTTAAAAGATTGTCCATTTAGGAATGTCATTTCATTTCTACATCTGTAGTGATCAGATATAATCTTAGTACTTTCTTTAAAATAATGTTCTTATTTCGCTGTATGCTGCGGTACTTTGGACTCGAGACATTTTTTCTATTGTCTCGGACTTGTCTGGTGCTCGTTGGTATTTGCCCTCTGACTTGTCTCACTGTTTTTTTTTTTCCTCCTTCAAAACAAAACCATTGATGAAGCGCACTTGATCTGAGAAAATCGGTTTAATTCAAAATCCATTTAAAACAGGCTTTAACATTGGCTGCCTGGTAACCATGGTTGCCAATCAATGTCCATTGCAATCACATGCCTGGCTGCCAAAACTCATCTTATTGGCAATGGCAAAAGCATTCTTTCTTTTCTGTCTTGACTTGGACTCAAACCTCGACTAGCCCTGCTCTTGGACTCGACAAAGGTGGTCTTGACTACAGCACTGCCTTAAACACCAATGAAGATCATTTCATTTTGAATACTGAAGCCACATTGTGATTAATTGACAGATAAGACAAAACAGAATAATTGTGATTTTGATCTCAACCTTTTTACACAGTTCAGTTTCTACAAACTGTGCAAAATATTTATGTTTCATAGTATTTCCCTGTACTTTTATAGGTCTGTTAGCACCACCGCTTTCACTTGTGTTGACCTTTAAATTAAGTGTTGTACTCAACATACTTTGTGGAAGGACAGTTGATTTAAAGCAACTGACAATCCTTCGTCTGCATTAAAGTACAGATCAATGTATAAAAATAGTAACAGTTCCATAGCATATAGACAAGTAAAGGCAAGAATGAAATAAGCACTGATAAGAATAAAACTATTAAAACAGTTCATCCTGTCGGATCAGACGTTTTCTCCTCTTCACTGCTGCTGGGGGAAGATGGCGGCACGTCCTCGCCCATCTTCTTTAACTTGGCTTTGTAGTAAGTCTTCTTCATCCTGAAGGCCTTCTCCTTCTGCCGGGCTGCTCTCCTCTTCTCCCTCACCAGCTCCTGCTCCCACGCCAGTACCTTCATCCTGTTCTCCCACTCCAGGATCTTCATCTGCTGCTGTTGCTCCAGAGCTTCTGTCCTCTGCTGGTGCTCCAGTCTCGACAGGTCGGCGGAGTCCTGCTGGTTCGAGAGCCTGGTCGCTTCCTCCGCCGGGCTGCCCGGCGGGTGGAGACGCTGGCTGATGAGCCTGGAGGTGCCTGCGAGGTCAGAGTTACAAAATGCATTGGTCCAATATCTATTGCTAAATGTGTTTTTGTATGTTTTTGTGTGCTAAACGTTTTCCTGATACATTCCTCACTAGAGAGCAAAATGTAAAATTACATCCAGTTTCAGCTGCTCGTACATTTTGGTGCGACCCTGCAAATCCCACTGAACTGGTTTGAAATCCGGAAACTATGAGGATTACGATTCATATGATTTCCATCCCTGAGACGATTCAGTGATCACTGGTGATCTGGATGGATGTTTCCCCTACTTGCATCATTCATTTTACAAATACTACAGAGATTAGCGGAGTTCTTTGGAGTTGAACCAGACATCCATTTATAAATGTATTCAGCCCTCCAACATTACCACTAGACACGTTACATCCCCTGCTTGGACTATATCTTTCCACCACCGGTATCATATAAGGTGTTTACACCGCAAGAACTTACACAGGAGATCTCAAAAACCTTTGAGGAACAGACGATTAAATGTAGTTCCTATACGATAGTTCGTGGGTAGTATTTCCAGTGTTTCAGGAAGTTCTAGAGGAGGAGTCTGCAGGGCTGAGCATTGCTGATTGGTTAAACACAGACCTGGCAGCTGCTAAAACTTCATTCATGCTTCATTCACAAAACAAAGGCAGCACTGGAAGCGACTAGTATCTAAATATCAGGATGAGGAATGGACATTTGTTTAATAATGTTTTAAAAAGTGTAACCACAAAGTTACAGAAATAGACTAGAAATAGAAGGTTTATTTATTACAAAAGGTTTATTTAATCATTTAATCAATTATTGGCTCTTCATTCAGTACTGTTTTACAGGACAGTTTCTAAATTAAAAGTGCTATCTTGACTTAATACTGGAATATCACAGTTCAACGTAAACGTATCCATTCAAAGCTTTAGTTTATTGAACGAGTATCTCTAGGCAACAAATACTGTGGCAGCTGGCAGAGCTTTATCTGTGGGTACCTGGTGCGGTGAAGAAGGCAGCAGGAAATGTCACATCCTGCAGCTCTGCATTGTGGGAGGTGGAGTTTGTAGTGGGGCTGTGGTGCAGATCTGACCAGTCGCTGCCTGTTATTCTGTCCAGGGCTTCACGCTGGAGGCAGATGGCCACTTGCTCCTTGGTTTCCTCAATCTGAGACGGAGACTTTAAAGTATGTTTTAAACGATTACTTCACGCTGGCGGAACACCTGTAATTTCTTGTGTGAATAAGTCAATGAATCATAGCTGCCTCTACAATAAAATTATATATAATCACTTTTGAATATTTACCTGATTCACACTTCCATTCATCAGCCCGGCGGAATTTATCATCATCAAATTTCCTGCTAATAAGACAAAAAGGACAGGCAGCAGGTCAGAGAGGGACAGCAAGTAAATGATTTTCAGGTAAATAAGCAGAGAGCGCCTCCCTCTGCTGGAAGTAGGTACAACAGCCACATCACACCAAAACACTGAACCATAAATCAAACATAGTTCCTGTTACTGCAAATGGACGTTAATCTATTCTGGGATGTAAATCTACACTTAAATAGTGAAAAAGTCCATAAAGTCAGCCTCAAATTTAATGTCAGTAAAGTGGTTTCAGGTTGAGGTTTGGAACGACAATTTAACATGTAAACATTAAATTCAGGGATTATTCAAGTTTTCAGTATTCAGTTTCAAGGCTGAATTCAAGTTTAACTGTTTGACACACCGAGCATGCTTTGGTGCAGCCGGATAATAAGGTGAGAAGTCTTTTAAATGGAGGATTTGTGTTCCAGTTGTCATGGCAGCAAGTGTACACCCAGCTAAAGTGTCCTTGAGCAGAATTACTAAATCCCTAAACAAAATTCCAGCGCTGCGGTTTTAAAGCTGATTCTGATCTCACTGCTGTAAAGGGGCCAATAAAAAAAGAACGAACACTAATTTAGCTGCTCAACACTCTGAATGTACTTCACAAACATTAAACCACCCAAAAAACATGTATGGGACTATAATACGAAACAAATTCAGATAATAATGGGATGGTAGAATTTGGAAAATCTCAAAAGTTCTGGCAGTCACGAGATTCTGGAAACACTCGAACACCTTTATTATACTGAAGTGGAGGCAGATATCTCAAACCAAACAAATAAAAACAAAACTATCTGCTTGGCTAGAGGTGAGAATTTATTTGTGTGATTTGTAATGAACTGAGCGAATCAAGCTCAGGGTTAGTTCTCAGCAACATACTCAAATGTTATTAAATAAAAGATTTGGTAGAATTGACCAAATAGCAAAAGCACACATGAATTTGTATCTTAAAAAGTTGAAAAGGGCACAATATTTACACATACATATGAATGGGTGGCTGCCATGCTATTTTAACAAGCGTTTTGATTAAATAATACCTTAATATGTTACAATACAATAACGAATCCATTAATGATTGTATTGAAATGCTGTTAAACACACTATAATTACATCATTGTTAGTGAGAATATTGTGTTGTTACTGTTGTTACTGTGTGTAATTGCTGCTGCTAAGCACTGCAATTTCCCAGCTTGGGATCAACTAAGTATATCTATCTATCTATATTATTGTATTTTAAGGTTAAAAATGGTATTTAAAGTCATCATCGTGACTGCCAATCATGAGCCAGAGTTTAAGATGTTCATCTACATCTGCTCCTCATCTCCACTGCATCTGGTGTTTAAAAGCTCTAATAGTACGACCATGAAATATAAAAGACTGTAAATGAATACTATTAAACATATATCACACTCCACATTTAACACATCGCTGTTGTCATGCGAAAATCTAAAACATGC